CTCAGGAACAAAGTCTCCACAAATACAGTGAAATTTGGAAATTGTACACAAATTTAATTTCTGAGACCAAGGTCATAAATATTCTATTTAGAGAGAATTACAGGTTTTACGATATCAAAAAATTAATTCAAATGGCACTGAATTAAATAGGAAAATGAGTATTAAGTAGTGAGCAACAATGCAATAATTATTAAGATTATTCCTACATTTTCAGAGTGAGAACAGGTATACTGGCAGTGCAATTTACCTGCAGAAATCAGAGGAAGACAGGACTGTAACCTTTATGCCTACCAGGAAGTCATTCCAAAGCTTTGTTATTCTGACAGCTTGATTTCCATACTAACCTTTTGATCAAATATTTTAATTTCCATTCTAATGTTTCTTGTTCTTTCTCTTCAGTTATAAAAAATTTCCCTTTTTAAAGTACAGATAAGCTTTATTAAGTACAGTTAACACAGACTACACATTTTCATGAGCACCTTCTACAACAGCACTGACACTTCCCTACCTCACACACAGAATCCCAGACTGGTTTGGGTTGAAAGGACCTCAAAGCTCACCTTGTTCCACCCTCTGTCATGGGCAGGGACACCTTCCATTAGCCCAGGTTGCTCCAAGTCCTGTCCAACCTGGCCTTGGACACTTCCAGGGATCCAGGGGCAGCCACAGCTTCTCTGGGCAACCTGTGCCAGGGCCTGCCCACCCTCACAGCCAACAATTCCTTCCCAATATCCCATCTATCCCTGCCCTCTGGCAGTGAAAGCCACTCCCTGTGTGCTGTCCCTCCATCCCTTGTCCCCAGTCCCTCTCCAGCTCTCCTGGAGCCCCTTTAGGTCCTGCAAGGGGCTCTCAGGTCTCCCTGGAGCCTTCTCTTCTCCAGGGGAACCCCCCAGCTCTCCCAGCCTGGCTCCAGAGCAGAGGGGCTCCAGCCTCAGACTCACCATGGCCTTCTCTGGACTCTCTCCAGCAGCTCCAAGTGCTCCCCGTGTTGTGGGTCCCAGAGCTGGAGCCAGCTCTGCAGGGGGGGTCTCATGAAATCAGGGGCAGAGTCCCCCCCTCCCCACACTGTGGGATCAGCACAGGGAGGGTGTCTGGGCTGCCAGTGGACATGGCCAGGGCATGCTGAGCTTCTCATCAACCAACACCTCCAAGTCCTTCTCCTCAGGGCTGCTCTCAAACCATTCTCCACCCAGCCTGTGTATGTGCTTGGGATTGCCCCAAGTTATTACACATCAGGTACAGCATTAAATCTTTTCACTAATTTTTGAACAGTTGTGTTCCTGGTGACTGATGGTCACCCTGTGCTCAGCCAACATGCTTGTGTATCTGTTCTCTTATTTCTGAAAATAAACTTGTGTCCTTTTACTTTTGAATAGTTACTTTATGGCTTGAAGTAGTTACTGTTGTTTGTCCCCATGTTCCATCACACACTTCTGCATTTTATCTTGTTTTTACCGTTCTGGTTTTCATATTATACCAAAAGGACCAGATAATTCTCTGTCCTCTATGCTGACCACAAATATGTCACCAATGAGTATTGTGGTTGCTTTTGTCAAGGTAATTAATAAAAAACCCCAACACTAATAGGGTCAGCCTACAGACTATTCAACTGCTATTACCTCCTCAGAGTCAATTCCCTAGAAATTCATGTTCTTGTATGAATCCCTCATTGCTTCCTAAAATGATTGTTTCCTGTGTGTCCTGTAAGCAAGTCTTGAACAGAACTGGCCCATCTGCCAGTCAGCCTTTGGCAGACACAGCACTCTGCTTTCCTGCAGTGAATAATTAGTCCCTTCCCCACACAGTTGAGCAGGTGATGCTCAGATTTTCCCGCAGCAGCTGCATCCATGGATTTCCTGGCCTTATAGAAGGCATCAACTGCTTACAACAACCAGTAATTAAATATTTACAAGGGATACCATTGAACAAAACCAAGTTCCAGCACAGGTTTTTAAAACACTAAAACAGTTACAAGCAAAGAAATCTTTCTTCTGTACCAGAAGCAGAAAAATGTGTTTCTTTGCTTTCACCACCCCATGCTGCACAGGCCAGGCCACGTCTGTGCTGTGTGTCTGGATGGTTCTGTGAGGAACTGAACAGATTATTGCTGCCCTTGGTGGCAAGCCCTCCCCTGCAGAACTACAGAGCAATGGGAAACAGCAGGGACAGACAATCAGAAACAGAAAGAGAAGCCCAAGCTGAGGTCAAGCCTGGGAGGAACATACTGAGTAACAATGACAAACCGTTCTGCAAAAGGAAGACAAGGCCATCAACGCTTTGGGATGTGATGGTGGCTACAAGGGCGAGTCACAGCACTGAAGTTGCACAGAGCAGCTGGCAGGATGTGCACCCCAGGACAAAGATTCCATGCTGACATGCCAGCAGGGTTACAGCACCCACATGCAGCTGAAGCTCAGAGCCTGATTGAAGCAAGTCACCCAGAGAAATTCTGAGTTGTAGCTATTAAGGACATAGACAGGACAGCTTTAATTCTGCTGTGTGAGTTCAAAATTAGGTCAGTTCCTTGGGTTTCTAAACACGGATTCAGAAGCCTAAATTTAGCCACACCCCAAAATTGTGGCCTCTGTGACTACTGTACACACCTTCATGCCCAACTTCAAGGACAGGGTGGAATTTTCAGAACTCTGGAGGTCATCTCCAGAAATCTGTGTAAAAGCCTTGACAGGAATAGCAAGTTCTTGGCTCAGGGAAACTGGAGAGAAACAACTGCTGCTTTTAAAACAAACTATTTCAAATGCATGTCCATTCCAGGGCAAGCCTGACATCCCCACTACTGGAGTGTCAAGAGAGGCAGGCAGTACCCATTAAATATCTGATAGTACTTCAAACCCACACACCAGATAATTTGCACCTCACAGAAATCACTTTTACCCTCTAAAGCCATCTCAGAAGGTTTGCAAAACTCTTAATAAAACTAGGATACGTAACTGTTGTCTAAAGACATTTTTTAATCTCGTGGTATGACTAAATTTTAACGCATAGGAAGCACTAGCAACATCTTTGTTCCACCTGTAAATGCACAGCTCAAATCTGTAATATTTATGGAGCAATTACAGTACAGGTATAAACAAGTCCTGCCATCAACAAGTACTATTCAGATGGCAACCACTGTTTGTTATCTGTCTTGAGCAAGTTTAACTGCTGGAAGCACAAGGAAAGAAAGAACAAATATTTTATGGGCTACAAAGAAGTAACAGATGACAGCACAAAAACTAAATGAAAGCCACAACTTAAACCTGATAAAAGCTGTGAATTTCGGTGCAGAAGTCTTTTCTGGAAATGGGGTGCTCAAACACTGCCCACGTTAGGGAAGAGGTACCATGATGGAGGCAGACCCCAAAAGCATAGGGAACAATTTAAAGGCAAGGAAAAAAAACTATTCCTTTTGATTATATCCAAAGCTTTAACATGAAATATTTTCTACTTGTTTTGCAGACTGTAAAGATAAAGTAGAAATAAATCAATCCCGGATAGGAGAGCTCCTTCTAGAGGGGCAGGCTGTGGACACCACCAGGCTTAAAGACCCAGCACTTCCCATCTTGGGTTCACAGAACACACACACACTGACTGCAGCTCTCCAGACCAGCTCCCTGCTACTCTACTGTTTTGGTTTTACACTTAGGAAACAACAGCTTACCCATTTCAAAAGAAGCATCAAGGGAAAATGTTAATTTTTTTCACACAAACCTTTCACTAATATCAGTGGCCAAGTCTACACGTGGGACAAGATCAAAGTTGTATCAGGCACTCCTTTGCTACACAGGTACAAACAGCTGGACCAAACTCAGCCCCTGAAACTATTCCAGTGCACAAGTCCGTGGGAAAACAAAGAGCTTCCTTAGAAGGTATAAGGAGAGAGCTCTGCCAGACCCTGCCCTGCTGCAGCTAAAGCCACAAAACAGGTACCTGAGGAGGCCCTCACAGGTACAGGTGTTACAAGCCTCCCCTTCAGATGAGATCTCTTTAGGAATTCTTCTGCAATACCATCCAAGCCACTGAGACCGAGCATTTCACCAGCTGTTCCATCTACAGCTTTCATAGGCACAAGATATTCCAATTTACCAGGGAATATAACACATATATACAATCACTGTTATATAAAAACACTAAGAAAAAAATAAAACAGATGATACTTCAAATTTCAAGTTGAATATCCAGAATATTTTTTGGCTTTATCTACTCTATTGTGTCACCACCTTATGAAGACCACCCTGCCTCACGAAGATGTTTGCTGCTGTGTGTGTTCAGCACAAACAAGGTCATAAAAATACGTAAGGAATCCTTTTCCACGAGAGGGTTGAATGGCTTTACCACCTAAAGCAGGCACTCGTAAACCAGGTCAAAATTAGAAAGGATGCTCTGCGTGCGCGCAGTGAGCACTGGCACAGAGCACTGAGGGACCAGCGCGGGCAGGGCAGGGCAGGGCAGGGCAGGCGGGCACACAGCGGCTCTGGGCTGCGATGCTGTCCCTGCCCGGGCCATTGAAACACAAGCGCGCCCGCCCCGCGGCTCGGGCAGAGCCCCCGCAGCGAGACCGCCCCGGCCACGCACCACGGCCCCCACAGCGAGAGCCACGGCCCGCTCCGCGTCTGCTCCCGGCAGGAGCCGGCCCGGGCATTTCCAGGCATCCCTCCCTCCCTCCCTCCCACGGCCCCGCGCCCGCCCCGGCCTCAGGCCCGCTGCTCCTCCAGCACATCCTTCAGCCTCACTTCTTCACTCAACACAGTAAATGACCCGGGCTGGTTTCCAGCTGGCGGATTCCCCGCAGCACCGGACCCGTCCCCCGAGCAGGACATTTAACTTGAACCACACCGCGTGTTCCGTCCGAGCGCCGGGAACAGCCCCGGGCCCGCGGGGCAGGGCCCGCAGCGATGCCGACGGCGGCCCCCGCAGGGCGGCGCTCCCGCCCGGGCCCCTGGGGCCCTGCCCCGGCTCGGCGGTCCCCGGGGCGCTGTCCCCGCCCGGCCGGCCCCGCTCACCAGCTCGGGCACTCGAACAGGGCCCCTCCGCCCGCCGGGGCCGCGCCCGCCGCCATCTTGGCTCTGCCATTCAGCCGCGCGCGGCACTCTGGGAAGGGCGCGCTCCCGGCGGGCCCCGCGCGCAGCGGGCGGGGCGGGGCCAGGGGCGGTGATGGGCGGGGCTTAACGGGCCCGTGGCCCCGCCCCGCCACTGGCCCCCAGTGCCGGAACCCGGACAGAGCTGAGCGGGGCAGTGCTGGGAACAGGGACAGGGACTGGGACAGGGACAGGGACAGGGACTGGGACAGGGACAGGGACAGAGCTGAACCGGGGCAGTGCTGGGAACGGGGACAGGGACAGGGACAGGGACAGGGACAGAGCTGAACCGGGGCAGTGCTGGGAACAGGGACAGGGACAGGGACAGGGACAGAGCTGAGCCGGGGCAGTGCTGGGAACAGGGAGAGGGACAGGGACAGAGCTGAGCGGGGCAGTGCTGGGAACAGGGACAGGGACAGGGAAAGGGACAGGGACAGAGCTGAACCGGGGCAGTGCTGGGGACGGGGACAGGGACAGAGCTGAGCGGGGCAGTGCTGGGAACGGGGACAGGGACAGGGACAGGGACAGGGACAGAGCTGAACCGGGGCAGTGCTGGGAACAGGGACAGGGACAGGGACAGAGCTGAACCGGGGCAGTGCTGGGAACAGGGACAGGGACAGGGACAGAGCTGAGCCGGGGCAGTGCTGGGAACAGGGACAGGGACAGGGACAGAGCTGAGCCGGGCAGTGTTGGGAACAGGGACAGGGACAGAGCTGAGCCGGGGCAGTGCTGGGAACAGGGACAGGGACAGAGCTGAGCCGGGCAGTGTTGGGAACAGGGACAGGGACAGAGATGAGCTGGGCAGTGCTGGGAACAGGGAGAGGGACAGGGACAGAGCTGAGCGGGGCAGTGCTGGGAACAGGGACAGGGACAGAGCTGAGCCGGGCAGTGCTGGGAACAGGGAGAGGGACAGGGACAGAGCTGAGCCGGGCAGTGCTGGGAACAGGGACAGAGCTGAACCGGGGCAGTGCTGGGGACGGGGACAGGGACAGAGCTGAGGCGGGGCAGTGCTGGGAACAGGGACAGAGCTGAGCCAGGACCAGGGAAAAGCCTCAGTGCCCGCACGGCCACCACGGGCACCAAAGAACGCCCATCCCCCTGCCCGGCTCGCGGCTGGAGCCCCCCGAGTGCGTCCTGCGACCCTCGGATGGGCAGAACACCCACCTCGAGCCGGGCTCACCGCACAAGTCGGGGGGTGCCGATGGTGAGTTCTCACGCCCGGGAACAGCAGCCAAGGCTGTTAAAAACGGCGTCTGCAGCAGCTCTGCTGCTCCGATCAGTGAGGTGCAGAGGGGAGGGAGTCAGGCAGGTACAGCAACCCCGAGCCCAGAAACCTGGACCAGTGTCCTCAGCTCCAGTTTCCGGAGGACTAAGGCTAGAGGAAGGATGGAGTCTACAAATAATGCATCAGCTCCCTTTTAGGCTCAGTGAGGAGGAAAGTGCTCTCATTCTCACACAGCAGCGTGACACCCAAAGGACTCTGCCCTGCAGCAGCCAGGCACAGACCAGCAGGCTCTGCCCTTTCTGAGGAATACTTTAAAAAAGGAGCAGAACAAATTGCTTTCAAGTCAGATTTTACTGTACAGGCTTAGCAAAGGCTCCAAGTTCTAGCAACAGGCAAATAGGCAAAGCTGATCCAACACTGCTCTGGGACATGAGATTAATTTTTCTGGGATCAGCTACCATACAGGACTCTGCACAGCAGTATTGTGTGTGTCCTCGTGAAAGGAATTACGTGTTTTCACCTACGAATCAGGACCACTGAACTAAAGCTGCAGACACCACTGTGCTGATGGAAAGTCTTCTACTCTGCTTACAGAGGGAACTGCAAACCCATCTGTGCCAGTATCTGAAGTGCAAGAGAAAGGAGCTCTGACAGAGGCTTTTAAAAGTGTTTATTGATGATTATTAGACGGAATGATGGCGCAATAGTGCAAACCACTGTGCAATTGGGAGAACGCTCCCCTCCCAGCTTTCACATTTACTTTATTATAGAGGAGACATGGAATAAAGATAAATACAAAATGGGTCAGTATGCTGCATTTACCACACTCCCTTGGGCTTTGGACAGATTACGGTTCCCTCAGTGCATGTCAGTTCAGAGCTACACAAAGTGGGGAGTGGCTGCTGTGTTCTGCCCAGCTCTGTGAGCTGGAACCAGCAATCTTTTTCATTTGCACACACATCCTCAGTCTGAAAATCCTAGCACCTCACCCAGCCAGTTTCTGTTTCATAAAGAATGGAAAATACCAGACGATCACAAGCCACACATAACATTTACTGACACTACAAACGTGCTTCAGAAGTACTTCTTCAGAAGCAAGGTTTCTGCTAAGACTCATCTAACTTGCTAGCTTGTAAACTTAGGTGCCCACTTCCTCACCTCTGTGTGATTTTCTTCCTGGAAGCTTCTAAAAACAATTGGGAGTAGCAGCTAAACTTTGTATACCTAGTGCTTGAGAGTCAGCATTGGAAGAGATTTATTTGTCTGCTAATAAACAACCAGATAGTTTGTCTAAGGAAGCTGCATTGTTAGACTGTAAGTCAAAGAACATTCTGTCCTCAAATGATGCATTTTGGGAAAAACCAACCCACAACCACACTCGAAAAAGTAAACAACACAGTTACAAGTCTCAAGGCTAAACAGACCAGCACGCAGTGGTTCCAAGCATCATCCACACAAACTCTCCTTGCCTCTGGAATCTGTAACATCATCTTTCTCTTCAAGAGCATCTAGAACCACAGCCACTTGGAGACAATAAAACCATGGGGCAGATACTGGAGACTTTAGAAACTCCTGGATTTATGTGATGTGACTTGGTGGTGTGCTGTCTTTGAATGTCATTCTCATTCCAGTCCAACAAAGTGACCTACATACACAAAATGTTACAGTTGTGCCACTTGTCAAAAACAAGACATCTCCAATTATTGATCTCACTTCAGCATACAGTTGGGACAGGGAATAATACAATACAGAAAGCAAAACCACAAGGTTTTAGTTACATAAAACAATATAATTTGTATATAAACTGATAAATACTGTCTCCATGGTTCACTAATTCCAAATACTAGTTATCTGCACATTAGTTGCTAATATCTATTACTAGAAGTAGTTCCAGCTCGTGCTCTCAGGGTGGGCAATTCATCTCCGAGACCTGTCAGCTCGTTGGTTCTGAGAGAAGAAAATCTCAGCAGTGAGACTGGGTTCCATGGGAAGATTTCATTTTCTTGTCCCCCAGATAATCAATCCTATGATTAGACAGGCCACAGCGAGGCCAAACATCAGGATACAGATCTTCTTACGGGATTTCTTCTAATAAAAGAAGAAAAAAAAAGCCACTGACACCAGAACAGCTGACAAGAGGAAAAAGCAAGGCAACCATTCCTGTTACTAACTTTGGTGAACCAGAGCACTTGGCACCCACAGTTACTCAAGAGAAGTAACCAATGTAGTCTGAACAGTTTTACATGTTCCTTAAACTGCATGATTCAACAGATCAATGTTTTTAGTTTTAGGAGTGCAATGGTCAAAGAGATGCATTAAAGTCAAAATGTGACACGTTTTGCTTCTCTTAAGGAAAATACAAGCCCCAGAGAAAGCCAAACCTTTCCAGCTATTGAGGTTTCTCAGGTAAGCCTAATCAACCTCCCAAGCAGTTCTCTGATGCAATCTCCCGTTGGTGACTTAAGCTTGGTGTTGCATTTCTACAGTTTGAATGATTTCACATAGAGTTACTGTACTTGGATTTTGCAGCTTTTGCTCACTTTATTCATCACAGGAAACTACAGTCAACCCACACACACCAAATATTTTTAACTTAGCATCTAAGGATTTGAAGGTAGTTCTATATAACCACTTCCTTCTCCATCCAGAAAAAACACATCTAAAATATGTTCAATAGCTCCCGAACTTAAATTTATGAACACCCCAAAACTTTGTAAAGGAAGCCATGGAGAGAGAAAATACCATTAAATGCTGCCACATGGTCAAAGCTACTTTTCTTCCTTGCACTAAATAGCGCTGGAGTTTTATTGCTTTCCAGTACCTCCCACTTAACAGCTTGGAAGAGTGCAATATTTCTCTTGTGTGGAAGTCTGAAGTCCCAGCAGTGACTAAGCAGAACCCTTACTCCCTCACAGAACCTGGGCCTTCAGGGACAAGGGTGATGAAAGGAACCTACAGAAAACATTGGCTGTAACACGAGAGCCACTGCAAGAGACCTGGTGGGACAGGCAGGACAGACCATGGCAGAGAAACTCAGCAGAAGGAAAGGAGAGCTGCAGATCCTAGTCACCAGAAGTTTCCCAAGTCTGGGCATGGATTTTTGCATGCCAGTGTCTTGGCTGATATGTTTACAAGTTGGATACAACATAAGAATTTGTTCTTGTTTGTTCTGCTACCTCCTAAGAACAACAAAGACAGGTAAACACTTAGTCTTGCAGAGCACATTTATATGAAGGGACAGATCGTCTCCTCTGAAGTAAAGGTGAATTTCCATACTGTGTTTTTGACTAAAATGCTTTGTATTATATTCTTTGCAGCCAATTTTGAATGAGTGCCAGCTTGCACAAGCTGGTTTTAATAACTTGTTTGGTGTGCTGCAGGCCTCAGTATGTGTCTTGCTCTGCCTGTTCCATTATTGCTCAACTATACACTGACAATAAAACAAGCACACAGAATTTACCTGATAATAGGCAGCTCTCTGTAACTGCTCACTGGCTCTTTCCACATGAACTTCCGCACTTTCCACATTTGCCTCTATGCTATCTATGGAAAAAAACAAGAGAAGTCACTGTAAAATATTTCATGGCTTCAGTGTTTAAAAATTATAACCAGAAATACAATACTTTTAATGCAAAATACTGGAAAATTTAAACTATATAGGCAAAACTTGTAAGTGAACTAAGAAGAAACTTCTTATTATCCAAATGCACTTACCAATCATATCTCCTTGGTCATGAATCATCATGGCTAAATCCTTAAATATCTGATTGACATCCAAAATGTCTGCCTGAAGACAACAGTTT